CAGAGTCGCACCTCACTGGTGGTGCCGACTCAGCCACAATAGTGTGCAGTCATGTACATGACTTGGTCCATCATGTAGATATAGCAGATGTAACTTGTATTCAGTCAGTGTGATGAAGCACAGAAACGCACACGGGCACAGTCAGCTTCAAAGCTCTCCGTAAGCAACACCAATCATTATCAAGACCCTTCCACGAAGAACTTCGGACTCGAAGTGCTTGAAAAGAAAAGTATATGTAAGTACATGTACATGTACTTCTAAACGGACGCACTGAGTTAAAGCACGGCCTCGGACTTCGGATCGCGGAGTGAACACTACACTTTTAAAGGTACTTGACAAGTACAAAGTGTCGACTGTCGTGGAGGTTATCATGGTTATGGCCCAGTCGTCATGTAGTTCTACTTCTAGGTTATGGCCCAGTCGTCATGTAGTTCTAGGCTGTGCCCGACTCTTGGGGCTACTAATAACTATTTATAAAATATGGCACGTCGTTTGACGACCTACGCCAGCTAGCGCTAGGATATGCCCCATGGCCATGTGGCCAAGCGGCTAGGAATACATGTACCAGTAGTAGTACCGGTACATGTATGTGGAGGAAATGGTGTAACACAGGCACTGGTGGTACTATGCTGCAGAGCAGCAAAGTCTATTCTTGAAAAGAACATACATGTACATGTACATGCACAATGCACATGTATTACCGGTACTCCATCTGCGGACAAAACTGTTTCTTCCTTTGTGGACTCATCATGTGTTGCCATAAACCTGAGTCTGAAGTATAGTGCATCATAAGATTCATAATACCATAACTGCACAGAGTGACATTTAGTGTCGAAACTCAAGGCGGCGTGACTCAAGCCAGTACATGATTGTACTACTACTAGGCAGTACAGGACACAGTGTAACCTAAACGACAATGTTATTGCCTAGACTAGAGTGCTCAACACCACAAGGTTGCATGGGAGCAATACCACAAAGGCATACAATGTGCATGTACATGTAAGACTAAGAGAACAGAGATAACAGGCTACTTCAGTAGATCATGCACATTATCGTCATAGCAAGGCTATCCTCATGCAACTTTAACTGAAAATCTGTACATCATCTGGCTACAAACTTATATCCAGCCTAGCGGGCAAGTAGTAAAAAGATCACGGTTCGCATGAGACTCGGCTAGAGACTCAGACCGAGTTTTCCGCATCCGTAGGAACGCCACCACCCTTCAAGGATCAAGGTGCATACATGTATGCAGCTCCTAAACTAAAGCGGTGGGAGGTGAGTAGATCAGACCCACCAAAGTGGTCAGAGACCGAAAATCCCATTCGCTGCATCCATTTAAAAAGGTAATAGTTAGAGAGCTTTCTCGCTACTACAGACAGGCAGTTAGGTATTGTAGTATGTGTCTCCGGGGTTGCAGGAAGCTGTTCGAACGTCCCGTGGTTCTGGAGGCTGGTGCTTCGTCTGCTGCACTAGCGCATAGCTGTGTCGGAGGCTCAGGTTCCGGTCTAGATTTATGGATTTCATTGATACGTTTTTTTAGAAGCTTACATGTACATACATGTATGTATGCTGTTGCCTCTTGTGTGCTCCGTGTGCGGCTGGTTGGGTTCTTTTCTTTAACTTTGGGTTCTTTTCATTTGCTTTGAGTTCTTTTCATGATATTTTAAAAGACGTGTGAATATAATGTACGTGGACGCACCGCTCAGGGTCGGATTTCAACAACAAAAAAGTTAGGAAGATATGGCGCAGATGGTGTCAATTTACATGAGAGGTAAAGAAGAAAAGAACTAATAATTATATAATTATTAGATGTCATGCAACACATCCTACTACTGTACAGTCAGCAAGAGTACCGAGTGTACCTTGCATTGGACGTGACGTTACCAGGTTACGGGTCGGATTAAATAATGCATGTACATGTACATTGTAGTACAGTATACTGGTACGCGCCAGAGTCCATAACTATGATAACACCACAGACTCTGTCATCCCGGGTTATGCTACGGGTAGCTTCGGATAGGCCCGGCCAGGAGTTGGCAGGAATCTACAATTTCACAAAACTGTGGGTGTCCGTCGGATTGAATTCATCATCCTCAGACAAGAAGTTAGTTCTATCCTCCCAGTGTCCCGAGCGGGCCAACAAATCTCCATCAACTACTTTCAAACATACATGTACATGTAGTTGACGCTATCCAAGTTCCAGAGCAGAATTTGAGAAGAGTTGAAGCTAACTGTGCGACTCGTGCATTGTAGACTGTACAGGTGTTTGCAGATGTCCCAGATCATTGAACAGAGAGTCGCACACCCCATCAAATCTGAAGAGAATGATACACCAAATCACCGCGTCCAAACTGCAAAATGCAATTACCGGTGACGCACCAGCAAACATGCATTGGTGCGCAGAACCGCCAATCTGCTAGTGCTACCCAGGGGTTGCTCTACCGGACACCACCATTATAGATGCTGGCAGATGCTATGTGTCAACTAACTTCCAAACCCAAAAGTGCAGAGCTAGACTGAGAAATCATTCCCCCCCCCCCCCCTAAACACACACCACGCATGCACACACACGCACACACACACACACACACGCACACATACACCTGGTCCTGGTCCTGGTAATCACTGCCATTACGGTCACGTGTCCCCTTGCGGGGCCGACAATATGGAACGACGAGCGACGGCAGTCCGCTGAGAGAGAGAGGTCAGGGACTCAGGAACCATGTTCGAGAGAGCCAACTCCGGCAGCTATGGATCTGGCTTATCATCGGAAACGATTCCTCCCACGGCTGCCGTTTGAACTGGTCCATCACTCTCCACAACAGAGCGAACATTCCATGAGCCAATGCTCAGAGTCGTTCCAAGTCGTCGTCTTCGTGCGGTAGTTAGCTCCACTTGCGGGCTTGCAAGGCCTCGCGAAGGACTCCGAGGTGGGGGGCGACGAGGAGAGTGTCGGCATCGTAACTATCCGACCAAGTCTCCTGTCAATTTGACACATACACATACATACATACACACACACACACACACACACACACACACACACACACACACACACACACACACACACACACACACACACATACACACGCACACACACACCATTAATTTTGACCATTTGACGCCCATCACCAGAGGCGATGATAGCGATGCTACAGCAAAAGCCATAGCAACTGGTGCTGGGATTGCACCATTCAACAGCTTGCAAGGCTGAAGAATTGACCGCCACTATTCATCCTGGTCTACACCACACAGCTATGAAGTGGCTTTTTCTGGCCAGTGAATCCCTAGTTTTTGGTCTTTTTCATTTTTTACACACACACACACACACACACACACACACCACCACCACCACCACCACCACCAGCACATAACAGCAGCTATCCCACCAAGGCGCCATGCGCGAACTGATGGTGATGATGGGTGGTGAGAAGGCCAGAGTGTGACTTTGCAGCTTAGAGAGCTTGTGTGGCAGACGTGTGTTTTCCGCTATTTCGCCAGGTGTATCTTTACCACCTGGGACCATATTATTCAACCTCTTGATTCATATTATGTACATGTACGTCGACTACATTGTACAATGTGTGACTATGCATTACGTTAATAAAAGGAACCGCCATTTTTAAGTCATGATTGTAGGGCAATGAGTTCGTTGATAGCAAACTGTTAGTCGTATTTTGTTGAAGGAGAAGACATTGTTTGTACTCGATCATTGACGATGGCCAGTTGTCGAAATGTTGTAATATAACGAAGCTGGTTTGGATTTCCAGTGTCACCTGGAATGGATTTGTTCACCTGACCCGTCTTCTGCTACTTGGACGAAACTGTGCCATTACGGCATTAGCCTTCTTCGTACTTTGTCACTTCAATGCTTGTACCATGACTATGATTGTGATCTACTACTTCAGAGTAGTAACTGTCTAAATAACGTTTAGTTCGTTTTCCAGTTTATGCAGGTACATGTTGTAGATGTACAATATTCATGTACATGTATACAATCATTGCACATGTGCCTGACGTCGGCTATCATGTAGGGCAAATAATCTCCACCCTTTCTGCCGCTGTCAAAAGTGCTACGACTTGTGCATGTAGCACGTGTCCCCGGAGATCTGGGCAGCGTGATCTGCAGATCCCATCTACTACCGGAATGTTGCGGTGTACGTGCTGCAGAGCTGGACAATCACTGTGTCGACATGTCCAAAATCAATATGTCCACATTCTGCCTTGAGTCAATGACACCTGCCATGCCAGGACAGATCCTTTCCCTGGTAATGTGGTGTATATGTGCTGCTGCTACCAGGTAACTCGTACATCGGAAACGTGAGTTGCTATGTGTAGGTCTGTCATGGCTCAGAAGCTATATGGGGTAAATAGCGTGTGCTTCTTCAAACTTCTGTCGCCACTGTCAATTGCCATGCGTAAAACCGTAAACGCTACATGGAGAATTGTCTGAACAGTGAACATGGTGTTCCTTTTGACTCCCACCATCATTGAGTTTTTGGAGGCAACGGCAAGGACGTAGGTAGTACAACTAGAGATCGACTCAACACTACAGGCCAAACAGGTGATTTGAGACGTGCCATCGTTGAGCACTCGACCGACGTCTACAGCTACTACTGAGCACTATAGCAAACAGTGTACATGTAGCTGTGAGCTGTTCTTCCGGGTTCTAAACATATTCCCGGGAACAATCATGTCAGAAGGAATCTGCACACGGTCATTGACATTATGATTGCAGTGTACGAGTTCGTACAACAATCAAAACACGGTTTTCATGTATCGCACTGGCTGTGAAGTAAAGCCTACAAAGAGAGGAGGTGGGGCAGAAATGCCGGACGACTGGTCCGGAGCAGAATGCAGTCCGCGGTGCAGTAACTGCAAGAGTGGGTTAGTAATCATGGTAATTTTGTTGGTGAACGCGACTCAGTCTGTTGAGTTTGTGTGATGGCCGAAGTCGGTAGCCTATTTTGTAGAGTCCACCCTAACTACGGTCTACCAAAGCCAAAGGTTGGCGCGTTATGAACAGTCATCAGTTCGGTTACATTGTAGGTGGTTCGGGAACCGGAAGATGTGTGGCTTTTCAGCTCGTCGCCTAAATGACGAGCGCCGAAATGGCCCTCTCTTTTGTCTTACATCATGATTTCAGTGGCCTGCACGCGCACGTGATGATCCTGTGACATCAGTCATCATGGTCATCAGTGGTCGAGTCGATCGAAGAACATTTGCCAAGATTTGGCAAGATTTGTTGGGGGAAAAGGTGTGTATGTGTTGCAATTGCACTCGCTTTTGGATTACTAGTATTTAGTCTAGTACTGTAGCTGGACTACTTTTCACTTTGTCGTGGAAACCTGCAGTGTTTTCGCGGTGGACGTTGCTTGAGGTAAGTCATTGAACATGTTAGTGTCTTGGAAATCAACACTTTGCTCGTTCGGCACTGTGCCATTCATTTACCAGCCCGATTGTACCCGTACATGGTAGCAAGGTTTATGTACTCTTGATAGTACATGTAGATCTACATGTAGGTGTATTTTTCAAATGAAGAGACACTCGTAGTTTCATGATTGTGATTTGGATTGTATGTGGTCATACACGTATGGGTGCAGGAGGAATCCGGATACATGTAATAATAATAATTCGCGGGATTCGCGTTGGCATCGCTTGAATGTTCAGAAACACACAAACTAGCCTTCGCTTCCGCAGGCCACCACTATGCCTATGCCTTGCACACCTGAGTGGCGAATGCAGACCTCACAAGTGAGTCAGGGGAGAGTAGGTGAGTCTCTCAACCAATCGGGCGTGTAACGGCCCATAACCCTGTAAACTGCATCCTTGTTACCCTCACTCCGAGCTGCGAGTACCCAGTTGACCGTGGGCGTGGGTGTCGGCGCAGTTCACCACGCATAAAAAGTCTTTACTCACGTAAAAAGTCTTTGCACGCTCCCTGCTACCAGCGCGGGTCTCGAACTCGGGACCTCATGATTCGCAGGCAGGCCTGCAAACCAATCGGCCATATGCGTTGGTCTATAATTCAAATCCCAAATTGCTGGGGAGAAACTTTTGATTACATGTACGGTACTTGGACATTCTCCAAACATGTACACACAATACATAATATAATTATGTGAAAAATGTCTATGAGGCTGTCCAAAAAATCCACCAAAATCATCGCCTTTTATCCGCAACTGCAAAGATTGAAGACTTCTGAGACTTCTTTGTACAGCCCATTCATAAAGATGAGTTTCTTGCTTTTTGCCATCAATGGGCCATATGGGTCAAGTGACAACTTTGAGTTTCTTTAATTTAAATAGTTTTTGCAATCCCCTATGGAATGCTCTTCCAATTACTGGTATGTTTCTGAAGTCTATTTCTCCAAAAAGCAAGCTGTAACAGGGGCGTAGCACCCGCTACGACTGGTACGACCATGGCCGTACCACTTTTCGAAAAGTGTGGTCCGTCCGGAACGTGCAAAACCGTATTATAGGATCCATCGATGCATATGCGCATCAGACTTTGACCTTTTTCTAGACTCGTACTCGTAGATCTGCCATGCATCTGTGCATGTCCATGCACGTCTCTTCTGACCGTGAAATAATTCTATGACTTTATAAACTGTGCCAGAAGTTCCCAGAACGCAGGATTTTGTGTCTTTTTACAAAATTTTCCCGGGGGAGGTCCCCCCGACCCCCCTCCAAAACGGCCTTTGGCCGCGCCGACCTTCGGTCGTACCACTTCCAAAACCCCTCCTACGCCCCTGCGTAACAAGAATAAGATTTCGGCCAGGTTTGCCTCAAAAGCATATTCTGGACCTTTTTCAAATTCAAATTTCGCGGCATTGCACCGTGTACAATAAAATCACCAAATATGGGACCTCACCAGAGCCAGAGCTCATCTTTTTATGAATGGACTGTAATGCCGTACGTTTTGTACGGTTTTGATAAATGTGATAAATGGTCATAATTATGACTTAGCAAGTTTTGCGGAATTTCTAACTAGGTGTGCGTGTCCAGTTGGAGTTTGAATTATCACTCAATTTATCAGGCATTGTTATGTGGGAATTGACTGACATCGGTCCTGGCAGAAAGTTCGAATCAAGCTATATTCAAATTATGTATGAGGATTCCACCTGTTACCAGTAACTGTAGAGCTTTCATGAGATTTGCTCGGTTTGACTTCTCCCTTCCAACGTGTAAATGTTTGGTGAGTTTCTGGCAAGTCAGGGCGTCCTTGTAGTGCAACACAGGGTACATGCACGTATGATGTAGTAATCCTGTATTGACGTCTCTTCGGTTTTGCAGTCAAACCAGAGTCTCACACCACTGAACACGAAAGTGAAACACCTGTGCTTCGCCCATCTTGACTACACTGTGTAGTACAGTGCAGTGAATAGGATACAGTAAAACCTGCCCTGACCAGATACCCTTGGTGCAGCGGAAACTGTCCTGATATGACCGGATTCCGCTCATCCAGGAATGCACGATCGATCCACAGCACTTTGGTGCGTGACAATTTGTCCGGTCAATACAGCATTTCGCTTGGTACACGGTCCGGCAAACACAGATTTTTGCTGTCTTGACTGTAACTGTGTTCCTTGTGTGCGTTCCTTGTGTGTGTGTGTGTGTGTGTGCGTGTGTGTGTGTGCGCACATGTGCGCATGTGCGTGTTTGCACATACTGTATGCATGTGTACGGACGTGTCTTTCTCAGCAATGAAGTCCTCAGCCGTAACAATGGCATCCTCTCTCGCAATGCTTCTGCTGGCCGTCAGTGTGGCATACACCGCCGCCACTGATGTCAGCACTGAAACGTTAAGCTTTGTTGTCATCGGTGATTGGGGTGGTATCCCGTTTTACCCATACACCACTTTGGCGGAAACGAGAATTGCCAAGGCCATGGGTGACGTCGGTGCAAACATCCATTCAAACTTTTCCGTGGCACTAGGTGACAATTTCTATTTCACTGGTGTCAAAGACGTCAACGATGCTCGATTCAAGGAAACATTTGAGGTATGTACTAGTACATGCACACAGCGGACGTGTTTTGTGTACGCATGCAAGGTGACATGATACGCAGCTTTGCAGCATTCCTTGATTTCCTGTGACAGGGCGAGTTCTCCCTTGTCTTGCTGCCCGGCATGTTGCCCCATTCTCCGGTTTCTTTCCTGTGTGTGTGCTGTTTGCTGTCTCGTCGAACAGCGTGTATTCACCGCACCGTCCCTGATGTCGCGATGGTACGTGCTGGCTGGAAACCATGATCACTATGGGAACGTCACAGCCCAGGTGGAGTACACTCATCTGAGCAATCGCTGGTACTTTCCCCAGCTGTACTACACACAGGTAGGGTGTCAGGGATTTGATGCTACGATGGCCTGTGCTGGTGTGCTTCATCATAGACCATGTTCTTCTGTACATTACAGCAGAGGACTACAGTACAGAGCCATGGCCTCTAGCATGGACATATATCATACTACCTAAGGAATTGGATTGCGATCATCACGGCTTTGTACACGTATGTTTTCCTTGTGTTGTGCTGGGTAGTGGGCTATGATTCGTACAGTGCTACAGATCACTGTATTGTGCATGAACTTGTAATTATTATAGGTAGTCCATGATTGGTGTCTCTTCTCACCGTATACACCCAACGTTGTGTTGTTTTGCTGCTTCCATTCAGACGATGAATGTCGGCACTGATGCTACTCTGCAACTTGTCATGATCGACACTGTGTCACTGGCTGGCTTGTCAGACATGTTCGGACGCAATGTCCCGTATCAACCTATTGCAGCACAGGACGAAGTCGACAAGCAGCTTGCCTGGCTTGAAGCCACACTGGCGGCGTCCGAGGCCACCTGGTTGCTTGTATGTGGCCACTATCCAGGTATGTTGATGGAATGTGTGCATTGACCTACAGTTACGGAGAAGGGCAACTTAAGCTTTTAAATAATAGTTAAAATGCTGCTACTCAGAGGTTCACGCGTTAGCCATCATCAGACAGCACGATGATTGCTAACATGGGAAGCTATCAGAAGCAGCAACACAGCTTTAGTTGCCCTTCACTGTATCAAGATCTGCACCTACAATCGTCGCCAAAACAAATCCGGCCAATGTCGATACTATGGATGCAGTGGTATGTTTCCGGCGGTGCTGCATGATGTAGCATGCATTTAGTCTTTACCAGCACTTCACTGAGTGTATGCAGGGACATTAGTCATTGCATGTGCAGTGCACGAGCAAGAGTTGACTGTACTTGGAAGTAGAGTGTAGTATAGTGGTAGTGCATGCCGCCCATGGCCATGTACTGTCCGTACGGCTAGCATAGCATTGGACGGATTTCTTTGGCGACGACTGTAGGTGCATTGAGCACTCTCTCATTTCCCCTAAGTGAACATAGAATTACTCAATCTCCGGAGTACGTACATTGAATTGTGTACCTAGCAAGTTTGGCTGAACTAGTGTCTACTAGTGGCCACCCAGCTGCAATGCATGTACAACTGGACGCTCATATGTCATGTCTTGCACGGCTAACTGGCCATGCACTCTGAGTTAGTATGCAGCAGCGCTGGCTTTGGTCTGAACTCATCGTGTCATGCGATCATGCACATTTGTTTTCCGCGAGAACGTGTGCATGTACTAGCAACGTTGTTCGCAGGATTGTTTTCATTCAAAAGACATGGAAAGATGGTGTATTGTATCCAGAAATCTGTGTGTTGATGTTACCATGCCCCAGGAAAGATGTAGTAAAAACTGGCCATGTGGGAAAGAATTACTGTACGTGCATTCATTAAATTATGACGAATATTTCTGCTCATGCAGTATGTTTGGTCTTTTCCTTCGATTTGTCTCTAGTATGGTCTGTTGGAGAGCATGGGCCGACCAGTTTCATGGTTGAAAATATCAAGCCACTTCTGGAAAAGTACAGAGTAACTGCGTAAGTCACATCTCCACACTTTGTACATCTTGCCCCTTGCTTCTCGCTGGCGTCAGCGTCTCTGAGCTCTTTGTACCGGTACTCATGACGTTGGATTTCATTACAAAAAATTCTCATTTAAACTGGAGTGCATGTAGTAGTAGTCCCATGCAGGTACACTGTACATCATGTCACAGTCGCCCATGTGGTGATTTGTGAACGTATTCAGGCTGCCCAGGTAATTGGGAAACCTGTTAGACAGACCGTAGTTTAGACTTAGTTCAACTGTTCTGTGTTCTCACTCCTGCTCTTTGTGTGCTTTTATAGATATTTGAATGGACATGACCATAGTATGCAGCACATTCGTCCTAGCAATCAGTCAGTGGATTATTTCACCATCGGTGCTGGACATCTGACAGATGACTCCACTAAACACAAGGTATGTACTATGTAGTGCCTGCGCCTGTGGAGTGTAGTGGTGCCTGCACTTTGTGTGAATGTCTGGTCACAAACCAATTTTCTACTGCCACTGATTCTGTTGGAGGAGCGCTACACAATCCTACCCTCTTTTTTTTACAGGCAAAAAGAAGTTTTGGAACAAATATTATGTAAAAGCTCTCATTGCCTGTAAACGATAGAAAGAGTGTGCACACAGTCATACCATGACACCAGAACAACAATACCTCATCCGATTTAAACTATGATTTTTGATGAAAGTCACAAAAACGACGTTTAAATCAATGGGCGCTTTCGATTACACGTTTACACAATTCTGGAACTGGTTTTTTTAATTCTGGAATGACCAGAATGAGCGGATTCCGGCCATGTAAATGAACGACTGGAATTCACAACGCATTTTATTCATGTCATGTCACAAATAAAATTGATGATAATCGTAAAAAGAGATCACGTACACCCGCCCGGTACCCGGCCTCGCGCGCACCGCGCGGTACCGGTCCCTCCTTTCCGTGTCCCGCGGTGTAACTCACCACCTCATGTTCCAAGCAGATGAAAAGATGCCACGAACTACTGAACTAGGCGCTAAGTGTTACTTGCTTTCATTTTATAAAGTTAGTTTCTCATCATGGATCCCGATGATGTGTTTTTGCTCTTGGAGCTTCTGGAATCGAGTGATGATAACGACAACGGAGACACCGATGCTGAAGAGGACATGTTGGTATTGCAGGAGATGCCTCGCAACAGAGTTCCCCGCGCTAGGGATTATTATGAGGTAGATGTACCACTAATGTCAGAGCAGATATCTCGCGAGAACTTCCACCTGTGGAAGCAGTCATTCAGCGTGTCCTGGAGAAACTGGAAGCTGATCCTGTGCTGTATGGGGATAATCTCTTTGGGAATCCATCCATAGTTCTGGGGAAGCAGCTTCTTATGACTCTTCATTTTCTAGGTACATCAGACTGCACCTTTCGTAGCATGTGCAATTTATTTGGAGTGTCCATGTCAACAGGTCACAAAATTGTCGCAAAATTGTGCGTCGAGTGTGCAAATCTTTACGATCTCAAAGCCCCAGCGCTATCAAGTGGCCTGCTGCTGCTGAAGAACAAGAAATTGTACACAAGTTTTCCTCGCGTGGATTTCCAAATGTGTTGGGACCTGTTGATGGCACGCACATCGCTATCAAACCTCCTGCGGATCATCAAGATGCGTATGCTAACCGCCTGAAGTATCATTCCATGGTTCTCCAGGTGATTTGCGATTCTGAAATGTTTATCCTTGACTCCTACACCGGCTGGCCAGGAAGTGTGCATGACGCGCGAGTGTTCCGTAACCTGCCCAATATTTCAAGCAGCAACCGCTAATCGTGCAGCTATACTTCCGCAGAACTCAGTTCTCCTGGGAGACTCAGCGTATCCCCTGAAAACCTGGTGCATGACTCCGTTCAAAGGGGTTAATCAGCCGGTGCAGAACGTGCGCTACAATTCCAATCACTCCGAAACACGGCAAGTTGTTGAAAGGACGATTGGACTTTTGAAAGGACGGTGGCGCAAGCTACGTGGAACCCTCGGTATGACAGGTGATGAAGTGATGGTGGACACCACCTTGGCATGTTGCGTTTTGCACAACAAATGCCTGGCACACAACGGCGACCTCGAGTATTTCATGCGTGCCCCTGCTAACCAGGGAGGAATTCCACAAGTGGATGGTGGCATTGATGGTCTTGCTGCTGAGGGTGCTGTGGCAGGTGATGAACCAGATGCAAGGGCTGTACGTGATACCGTTGTGGAAGCTCTAATGGGTTTGTAGCAGAATTAAAGAATGGTACGTGTGTCACCAGCAAGCTTTTTTATTGGAGAATTACTACTACCTCTCACCAGTATTCATCTTCTCCTTTCTGTGTTTGGTTTCGATTTTCTGATCCTGCATTGTTCTGACAAGTTGCGAATCATTTTTAGTGAAACATCCGTGCTTGTACAAAGCGAGACTTATGTGTGCTTGTTCAACCATGACAAACATTCTGCTATTATGGGTATTGGCCCCCAAAATATTCATTTTGTATGTTGCGTATTCAAAAGCCATATTTAGACAGTGCTTTGAAAATGGTTCTGCCGGTGTTTTACCTGCGGAGTGCAGGGCAGTCTTTGGGCGTACACGTACAGCGTATGCCGCACTGCTGTACATGTCTGCGCACGCTGTTGGGGTATCGGATATGCAACCTGATACGCCTGGCTGCGTTCGGTGTGCAGGTATATGGTACTCGGGGCTGTGTGTCTGTCCAGGCTCTGGGTCGTACTTACAGCTCAGCAATCGGACGCACAGCAGTTTGGAGGGCTCAAACTGTTTACAAGTACATGTAGTTGTTTTCTGGCGCTTTTTGCTCAGCAATAGTAGTTGGCTTGTGAATCCACGTACTCTCTTGTGCTCTATGTTGAGCCATGCTCTCTCTCTCTCTCTCTCTCTCTCTCTCTCTCTCTCTCTCTCTCTCTCTCTTTTGTTCTCTCTCTCTCTCGTGCGTTGAGCCACATTGACTCACTCGCAACACTGGTCACAGAAAGCAGGGAGATTGATTTTTCCTGGGCACTATACTAAGGTCAATAACCCAAAATTTATTTTGGCGCTGTCTCCAACTATGTAAGTAGATCAGGATAGACAGGTGGTCGCACTTAATAAGGGTGATACGGCCAAGACGCAGAGTACTACTCGTAACTTGTTAGAAAGTGGGTAGAGATTCGGAGAGAAAGACACCTATTTAGTGGTATTGCATATCAAAGCCATGCAACGCAAGTAGCTACGAGGAAACGCAAGATATGTTAAAGCAGGGCGGTTCGAGAAAAAAAACTAACACTCAACACTTCTTAGAAAGATGCGATGAGAGCGAGAAAATTAGAGACAACGAGGTAACTACTTGAAGACCGATTACCGAGAGAGACAGAGACAGAGACAGAGACAGAGAGAGAGGGTAAAGGTGGTAGGAGGTGGTAGGAGGTAGAAAGAAATGTTGACTGATGGGAGAGGAACCACTCAAGCATGTTCATCTTTTCTTCGTGCATGGCCCTCTTCTCTGCTGCACGCTCCTTTTCACGGCGCTCACGATCTTCCAGAAGTTTATCAATTGGTGAAGAGATGTTGCAGTTTTGTGTTGATCTTGGAAGTCGCCGACGTGGGCGAGCTGTTGGGAGTCTCCTTCTTCAGCATAGCTGCAGTACTAGTAGCGTCTGCAGTCATACCAACAGTGCCTGATGTAGTAGCAGCTGCATTAGGGTCTGGTGTAGCAGGGGCTGCCGCAGTGTCAGGGCCAGCAGTGACTACACCAGTAAGAAGGACGGCAGACTGGGAAGGGGGGTCGCTTACAGGACTCTCACTGCCACTATCCCACTCGTCTTCACCAATCACCGTCACTGGCTGAATGCTACTTGATCCCGAACTTGCAATGACAGCGTCCGTGGTAGCGTACATAGCAGCAGCAGCTGGTTCACCTGCGGGAGTCACTGCTGTGCACATGGGGACTTCATTGCATGAAGACCTTGAAGATCCCATGCACAGTGGTTGTACGTTGGGCCTCTCGCCCAAGATCTCGCCAACCTCGGCTTCGTACCTGAAGGTCTTCCTCGGACCTTCTTTTCCTGTCCCTTCGTTGTAATCCCTGACCGAGAGAGATCTGTTCTTCAGGGCTTTCCATTTATTTTCCACTCTCTCGCTGTCGACATGACTCATCCCCCTCTCCTTGCAGTCGTCGGCCACTTCTGCCCACACTTGTTTATTCCTTTTCCTAGGATGGCTGAGGAATGGGTAGTAGGCTAGGATCACTGAGGAATGGGTAGTAGGCTTTGAACACTTGTAGGAAGTCACTAGTTTCCGCGTCTGACCACGTGCACCGCTTTACGACCTTTGTGGCTTGTCCTGACGGAGGTGAAGGCTCCATGTCGGCAATAACAGTTATTGGGCTTCGATAAAGCTGAACGCGTGTACGAAAGGACAACAACAACACCCACGATCTGGTAATACTAATAATCAGCTCCGAGCGGAAACTCAACTGCGGCAATTAGCTTTTCGGGAAGACGAAAGTAGCAACTACATGCAGTTGTAGCCCTGCTTTCGCGCCACGCCGGCCAGGGAGGCTCTTCGCGCGCTTGAGTCATGACCAGACCGGTAACACACCGACTGTGCAATTCTGGCGCCAGAATTAGAGAAATTCTGCCCTCTCTTCAGAATTGGCGGATTTGACGGAATTTGATAAAATCAATTCTAACGACGGAATTTGTCACTTTTTGTGTAATCGAACTGTGCATCAACAATAACTAATTCTAGAATTGACCGAAATGCGTGTACCGTATATTCTCTATTATAAGCGCTGTGCTTATATTTTTCCAACACCCCTCTGCCCCGCGCTTATATTGGAGACCGTGCTTATATTTTTTCAACCAATGCATCCATACAGATCAAGAAGAAATACATGCTAGATATCATGCATGCAGCATTGATTTCCACCAAGACCGTGCTAATAATAGAGACTGTGCTTATATTGTTTCGAAAGGTGCTCACAGTGTGCTAGTATTAGAGACTGTGCTAGTAATGGAGACCTGTGCTTATAATAGAGAATATACGGTAATCGAAAGCGCCCAATGAGGTAATGTTCTGGTGTCATGGTGTGCACACTCTTTCAAGTGTTACTAGGATTTTTGTCTCCACGTTGCCTGTAAAGCGTAAAGGCAACATTTTTGTAATTGTTTTTGGTTGCTGTCTTGCTGGTGCACTGTACATGTGCGTGCATGGATGTTTGTGTGTTTAGGGCGACGTCCCGGCTGGTTCACTGCGCTATCATTATGCTCCGTTTGACATTATCGCCTCGGACGGCGGCTTTGCTTCATTCAGCGTCTCGGCACAATCGATGATTGTAACTTACTACGATGCACATGGTAAGTGATCTGTGTGTGTGTGGCCACCGGTAGATAGCAGATAGAACAATCAATAATATGTACTTACTTGAACGCACCTGTGCTGAACTTTGCCGTAGGACGGTCACATGTCCCCTCATAACGTTACAAGGGGCCGACAGACATAGGGAAGGTTGGTTGAGTACGGTACGCAGCACGCTCCGCAGGTTAGCGTCCAGTGAGAGTTCTGTTATACTTGGCACAGCTGTGGAGTTGAAAACCCGTCTTCGACCGGCAGCACCTGCCACATGCGCTAGAATGAGCCTGGCAGCAGGGTACAGAGAGCTGAGTCCTCTCCTAGCGAAAGGGACAAACAGAACCTGGGGCCGGGTGCACCAGGGTGCAGCGTGCACAGGCAGGGCGTCCCTTACTGGTGAAGGAGGCTTGCCTCAAGTTGGTGTGGATGACATCCCAGGAATAGCGGGTTGGCTGGGATGCTAGCGCCGCTCGGAATCTCCTGTCGTACGTGAGCCACGCATCAGTCAGGAAATCGTGATTGGCGTCGACAATGATTGCCTGGTACTGCAGGCATTCAGGCAAGCGCTGTGGGCTTGCATCCACAATAACACGGATATACGCCGTCCAAGCCTCAAGCCACGTTGCCAAATTGCAAACCCGGTGCTTGTTGACGTGAGCAGCACAGATCTATATGAAGGGAGTTCAGTTCCGGCCCTGGTGAAAGCTGCAGTCACGACTCGCTTGTACAAGTGCAATGGGGACCACGTGACAGCTGTTTGGGCTGACTTCGAGCCCGCCTCCATCTGATCCTGTGGCCAGCACTCCCTTGTCGATGCTTGCACATGTACTTTACGGTAGTAATGCCAATAATGATTTGAAAGTATCTCCCTTTTGTTTTGTCCTTGTGCAGGCAAGGAGCTCTATCATTATGAAAACGCATCTCCCCGTACTCGCTGAGAACCATGCCATCTACAACCAGTGATGGGATTATGCTTGAGTACTTGGTATTTACCTTATCACTTTATAATGAGATTATCCGAGCTTGAGTTGTAGCTTTCACTACCGCTACGAGCCAGAGGCAGACCGTTGCCTCAGTTGCCACTAACACACAGCCTGGCAGTATGTCAATATGCCGTGTGGTGACAACTGCTTCACTCGAGCAAAGCATGTGACACATGGGAAATTTCACTCTCCGCTATGAACTTGAATACGGCTTTTTACCCATTGACTGCAACGTCACTGGGTTTTTTCATGGCTCGTTATATGCCGTGGTGTTGGCGATTTTCTAGTCTCTAGTCTTGCCCAGGAGAATACTGTGCTATTGATCCAGTCATCCTTTCGTTCAGAACAGGTTTTCTACTTCGAAGTATAATTATTGGTAAATTACGCTGATTTTGTATGTTGCTGCTCTGCCACCTGGCAGGATATGCTCTATCGGAGTATCCTTCTTTCTCTCTTCTTCTTTTCTTCTTGGTCTTTCTTCTTTTTTTTGCATTGACAAATCCCAGCAGTGGCTCCTACCCTGATTGGATGATCATGAGTATAGCTGTGCTGACAGCACAATGCTGCTGCTACCTAATGATTGGACATTGTCCTGCACTGTGACGTGAGCAGACTGTTTGCATGCTGCATGTTATGACTGAATATGAGGTAAACACTAAACGTGGGTTTTCAACCTTTCCACATGATGATATTTTACTTTGGGTGCATGTTCACATCTCGACCATAATTATAATCATGTGGATCTGGCTAGCTCCTCGGTCCTGGTATGCGCTTACAGTAGAAGTATGTACACCTGTTACATACGCAGTAAGGAGAGAGAGAAAGATCCTGGCCTACAAAAAAAAAGATACTCGTACCTGCTGGCATTCTGTTATGACTACACTACAGTACTGTCTGGTGCCTGGAGGTTTAGAGTCATAGCCTAGTCCATTCTTATTTTTCATGGAGAACTGTCTCTATTACTAGTAGTATACAGTCCTGCTCAATGAAAGCCAGTCACATCACTCAAGTTTGCACCTTGCACCATTTCGCAGCCCAGTGTTCGCAGATCTAGGGCTCCGCAACGCCCTGCATACTTGAGTGACACAACTGGATTTCATTGAGCAGGACTGTACTGTAGCTCAGCCACCATGTACACAAGGGTACGTATACTGCACCTGGTAAAATTCCAGGCAACCTATTCGTTCTTTGGCAACTTGCACTATGATACTGTGCTACAGAAAGATTCTCTCAAACTCCGAGTTTCATGCTTTCATGCCATTGGCATTGGGCGTGAATCAAGCCAGGTGATCCAAACATAAAAGGAGAGGGTTTTGAGTTTCATGGCCGACATCAAGAGTAGCGGTACATCATGTTCAGTGTCAGATTCTTGATTTTTATGATTTCTTAGCTAGTGAAAAATAATTCCTATCCATCAGCACTTACTACAGTACATATCTGTATTGAGGAGCAATGAATGTCAATGTTCCCTCTGTAGGTGCTCAGTTCTTTCACAGCCATTGCCAAGCGATCTGGGCAAAGACAAGGAGGCCCAGTGCTGCACGAGACGGGGGCATCGGGGCCCGTGTGGCAGGTGCGGCTGAAGCCGCACCAATAATCTCGTCTTGAAATTTCTGAAGCAAAGAAACTGGTTCAATTTTTTCCCCGAGGGAAGGGCCCCTCTTCACGGCCGCACCAATGTCGAATACCTTCCGACGCCCCAGATCAGGTATATTTCATACCGCTGCAACACGGGCCAGTGCACACTCCAGTGCGGCTTTACTTTACCGATGACCTGATCAGTCGTACAATACAATAGCTGGCAGTTGCAAAACACACAGTATTTCTTTGTATTTGTTCCCTCCGTCCAGCAGAGATGTTAGCAATTGGGGCTAAGGGTGGAAGACCCAATTCAACGCAGCAGAAGATACCTCAAGGAATACAACTACATCGCAAGAAATCTTGAAAAGGGCTATCGCAATAAGTTATTGCTTGCAATGTGAATTGAATCAATAGTGCAGTGTTCAAAACTGGTAATTTGCCAGGTGATAAATATCAACACTTTCCTAACATAATACTCGCCACTAGAACTGATTTAAAAAAGATTTCGTATTCGTAATATGAAGGGTTCCAAACACTTCAACTCCCACTCAACACGCTCACTCAGCAGACGACTTGCAGTTATTTGTCGGAGGACAGGAGCGCATGTGACATCTTCTCATAGACCAGAAACGTGATGCATGTCGCTGGTGTCACGCGTAACAGGTTGGGAGAGAGGCCTTTGTAAAATCCTCTCCAACCCTCGCTGGCGAATGTTCTCCGAACAACGTCCGTCATGCTGGTGAAGTCACTCTGCTGGTCCATCAGCCTAGCTCGTACAACCTGGTAAGGATACGTACTTGTTGAAGCAAAGAGCTTTGATAAAGCTGCAAGACTCAGATAGTGCACGGCGGAGAGATGAGATGAGAGGGGAATACCCACCAGATGACAGTAGTACTGCTTCAGCTGCTCATAGCAAACAAACTGTATCGCGCCGTGAGACACTCCAAAGAGACCCGGCACAAAGCCGCGGTAGCAGCCGCGAATACCCTCCTCACGATACAGCGAGGTCAGCCCATGGAACATGCCTCGGTACATGACGACTGCTTCGCCACTGGCATTGACCTGACCGGGCACTTGCAAGCACATCCTGGTCTTCACCACCCAGATAGGATTAGTTAGGCTTAGTGTGGTGACCCCAGCAAGTGTACCTATCAACATGTTCACACCAGCTGGCATGGACACGTTAGCATTACCTCCTTGATAGTAGGACTTCATTGTGTTGTAGAAGAAGAAATACAGGCCCCAGGCAGCTCCAGCACCCCACATATTGGGAGATACTCCTTTGTACAGGCCTTTGAATCCATCCTCTCTGTGTATGGTTCTAAGCGCATCCCACAAGCCATTGTAAGAGCGATGCCTCTTCCCACTACCATCGTTCACTTCAAAGCGAATTTTCACCAAGTCCAGAGGATGCAGCAGCAGTGTTGATAAGATTCCACCAGACACACCAGCGATCATATGCTCCACTTTGATGCTGGGTAGGAGGAAATTCTGCTTCCTTTGCTCTGCCACAGACATTGTGCAAATACACTATGGAAAATACTCACAAATTGCAAACTTCAATAATTCACTGACTCCAATCCGGCCATATCGCCTAAAACGTTACCCTTACAATCAAGTTCAACGCTATTACTTTACTAAACGTGATTCTACAAAACAGCTAGAGGAATGCAAGAGGCCGACATGTACTGCCTCAGTTGAGTTTCGCCTACAATTTGTAGTTTCAGGTTTCCCGTGAGCTGATGCCTGATGGGGAGGAATATCGAAAATAAAGTAAAAATGAGCCACATGTGCATGTGCACAACTACAATTCAAATTTCAAGCCACATGATATGACTCAATGACTTGTGCATAATTATGCGCATCATCATGTTCATGATCACTGACCATGCATGCTGACGTCGTCCATGACACAACACACATAACAAGTCATGCTGACCGATCGAGCAGAGGTGATTATTTTGGCTAGATTTGTGACTGTGCGGATATGAACATCATTTGCACCAATATGTGTGTAGGTCCCATATGGTCTAGTGGTTAGGATTCGGCGCTCTCACCGCCGCGGCCCGGGTTCGATTCCCGGTGTGGGAACCATTATTTTTTTTTTTTTTCCTTTGCAAGCCATCCATCCTGATCATATGGGCTCCCAACAACTTGAGTTACATAGCAGGTCTAATCCTGCTATGTATGCTCTCCTCCCTCCAGTCTTTCGTATCTCCTTTTTTGCTCCCCTTTTTTACTCAGGGAGAGAGAGAGAGAGAGAGAGTCTGTAGAGTTGAGAAGACCAATAATGTACTCTTGCAGTCTTGGTACAGGTCTACCCTCGCTAGTACGACATCGGATACAAGACAAACCTCATTACTGTAGTGTTTGTATTGTATTTTATTATTTTACTTGGGCATTCCCAACAGACCCTAAGCCTAAGGTCTTCTTCTTACAGGGTGCCCTAGTGTTGTAGACAACGATCAATAATCCCCTGACGCCTGAAACGCCTCGTCCGGAAAAAAAGACGAAAGATATACATGTACAATGTGAATATGATCCAGCAATCATGGTAATACTACTAATAGTAATACAGTCATGGTCACTGACCCTCCCCCCCCCGGGGGTTTTCTACCGCTGGCAATGAAATGGTGGCGAATGCAGATCAACGCTGGCGTTCGTCGAGAGTGAGCGAAGATGGGCAGTCCGGCTATGCATAAAGTCTTTCCAAGAGTTTCTCAGTGAGTTTCTACTCTTGGTCGTGCTCATAACAGAGCTAATGGGGCTGTTAAGTGATGACGTAACAGTTCCTTCGATACGCATAACAACGATCCCACTGGGGACAAACAAAAGTAGCGTCGTCTCCACCGACCCAGTTGTCAGTGGCAACATATAGGAATCGTGTACATTTCTTCGTTTCTTCTTTGCTGTTTTCAGTGAGTGTTTTGTTTTCTCTTTGTCCTTGATCTCGACGATGTTGTCGTGCTCATTACCTTACTGAGACGTCTCTTGTGACTGTAGCCAGTGTCATGGAGTATTTTATTGGCGTGACAAGGTAGATCGCCGAGATCGAGCGTTAAAAACGCTCTGCATTAGTAGCTCCTGTAGAATGTTTTCTGGGTTGGCCTATCCATGGTCAACAAAACCAAGGTGCAAGACAGCATGAGAGATCGTGTTAACGATGTGAACTCCAAAAGGTAAGCTCCTGAACAAGTGGAAAGATATGGGTATTTACAAACTCTCTCTTCATCCATCGATTGGCGCTATGCATTGCATTTTGTCTTCACAGATAATCTGGCCAAATTTATTGTAACTAGAGAGTGCAATCGTGCACTGCTTGGGGCCCATCCCAATGTCATCACATGGCTGTGGTGACTAGTGTATATCTGGGAGAATTTTTCCTCGACTGATACGGAGTGCAGATGGATCGATTATGAGAAATGCGAACATGTGAAGTAAGTAATTAGTTGTGTCGAAGAAATGTGCAATAAAATAAAATTTACTTTACACTCAAACATACACTGTAGATGTACATGTAACATCATGATAATGATTCCATCTTCATTGTCCCGCAACTGGTATACCATACGCACCGAATACATGGTGTGTGTGTGCGTGCGTGCAAGCGCGCGCATGTACATGCACACACTCTCATGCGTGGCCGAGTCGGCCAGATGAACAGACCATGCATTTACACGAGGTGTCCGTAATGTCATTGGAACGCTGTACTTTATGACTTTATTCCAAAAGAGTATGTCTTGCCCCTGACGAATGGAGTTGTGTCTGTGCTCAGCGGGTATCGGGCTATGACGCAACACTGCAATCAGCGCTGCAATTAAAAGAGCACTGCATGGATTATTTTGACTAACTTCCTTTGCGTTTACTTGGTTGAGCCCGTGGTTTCATTTCTGTGTTCTGTCATGATTGGCCTCTGGAAATAATCAGAGTGGATGTCATTTTGCCATGTGTGCCTTGTGCGACAGGTTCAAGGCTAGATGCACTTCACATTCGGCGTGCGATCTCAGCGTCTGGGACCTGATGAAGTCTTGGTTGGATGATTATTCAAGCCTGATACTACTCGACACACCAATGTACATGTCAATGTAATTTTTTCAGAGCTGCACTATTTACGTGTTGATGCTTACTTCGGTGTTAGCGTGTTTCCCCCGGATTGTTTCTATCATCATGATCGTGTGTTCTTGGGCTGAGCGAGCACATGCACAAGTGTGCAGCTATAACCCTGTGTATCTTTGGTTACACTTTGTTCTGCAATGCATGTACCTTGTAACATTATGTGCTTGCACTGCTTTGTCTGGCCTGCGTATTTCAGGACTATTCAGTGCATTAGACCCAGTTTTGTTTGGTTGCCGGATGACCTCGTGTTGCGTCGCTCTGTATTTGTATTCATCAATTTTTGGGCTTGAGAATTGAGCTGTTGTGTGGTTCCCAATATGAAAACATCATGCTGGTGCTCTGTGTTTCGATTATCGACTGTCGGAGCAGTCATGCATTTATTAGCAGAACGGTCAATACTGTAGTCTTTTCACGTGTTTGTCTTTTTTGTGTTTTCGCCGGGGGTATTAGCGGTAACGTTGCACACAGAACGGCAGTGTTGCATCACTGGACGACCCTGCCTCTGCATCTGACTTAATTTCCCCAGGATCTGGTGCAGTTACACCAGACAGCCACTTCCTGTAAACACGCAAACAGCAAAAGAAGAGATCCCGCAAATCAGGAAAAACCATTATGGAAAATTTAGAGTAGATCATACAACATTCAATAATCTGGAGTAATTACAGTGAGACAAACACTTCAAACAGTGCTCTCTCTCTGTCTCCATCCTTCCAAAAATACCCTATGACAATTCCCTAGAACGATTTTATTTTATATTCTTAGGACATCATTCTGAACATAATAAATTCTTCCATGGGTCTTCAATCACCACGGAGGGCGAAAATATATCTAAGTCATGCAGTTTACGGGAGGTACGAGCTGTCATGGATATAGAGGCTGATACTGTGCCAGCGTGAGGGCAGAGACAGAAAGAAGACACTGATTTCTTGAACAACTCACCTATATATAATCGAATCCACAAGGAGCGCTCATACTTTGATCCATCAGGACGCGAAACATCTTCAAAGCACTCTCAAACACGGAGTTTTACTGTGGGCAGCCAATTTCACAGCCATCATGAAGGCACTCGACGACTACAGGAGTTTTGTAGAGGAAAGAACAAGGAGTAAAGAGCGACAACAATCGCTTGAAGAAAAAGCAAAGAAAAACAACTGTCTCTCCAGTCATTTAGATGCTGTTGCCCTTGACATCTGGTTCCATCCAGAGGACGCGACTTTTGTTTGCGAAGGACTAAAGGGACCGTCACTTAATTTTTGCCGACTACCCGCCTAGCGCCTGGACTTGTAAAAAAATTGATTTTGCAAGTCTTCAATCATGTCTGCATGTACGCGCTATCCAATCCAGCCATGTGGCGTGAACAGATTGCTTGACGTGAAAGGTAGCGCGGGCGAGCGCGAGTCGTACGCGCTCGCGGACGTGTCTGGCACGTGAAACGAAAAGATTTTTTTGGCGGGTAGTCGGCAAAAATTAAGTGACGGTCCCTTTAGTCCTTCGCCTTTTGTTTGTCCCCATTGCTCTCCGTTGCTATGCGTATCGAAGGAGCCGTGACGTCACACTTAACAGCCCCATAGCACAGTAGTAGAGGTGAGGGGTGGCATGGCGGGAACCAGGCCAGGGAGGCGTGAAAACTCCCTTCCGGAGCTTCCTAGCCCGTCCAGGCGAGAACTACAGCCGTTGAAGCGGCCTCACAAAATGCATCACGCCGTTAGCATGGTTAGCAGTGTCATTGTTACATCGTGGGGGGGGGGGGCAGTGTAACAAGTAAAATACAACCGAGTAACTACATTATAACTTATAAGGCGAGGTGACAAGGAAAGAAGGAAGAGCGCCAAAAAGGTGATCTCTTTTGTCAGTAACGCAAGCAATCTTCTCGACTTGTTCTCATTCCCCAAGAAGCTTGTTGCATGCTGTTCTGTGTTTTAAAATGTTTGTCCTCGAAGAAGAGGAGGTTTTTCTCCAGCGGTTTTCTACAACCCGGTTGCCGTATGCTAAAGAAATGCGTTCCAGTTGTCCGTCCCGCTCCTCCACGCTCAGCAGTTGCTGTGGCCTGCACGTCTCAAGAACTTCATCAGTGCGAACTCCAGTCGACTGGTTTTAGAAGCCACACTCTCTCTCAACGTCTCTCTCTCTCTCTCTCTCTCTCTCCCTCCCTCTCTCTTCGTGTTCGCCATTGGCAATGGGTATACAAGTCGCCAGGCGTTCTTGGGTGGCTGCGCCAACTCCAGCAATCCAGCTCCAGGTACCCTGAAGCACGGCAACGAAAGCTGTGTTTGTGAGATAAGTTAGTTATCACCGGCAAGCCTCGAGCAAGGAAGGCCAAGCGGGAGTTGCAAAAACTCCACACTGGCATGCCATGGTGCAGGCAACCACAAGTACGAGTGTACATACTACTATTACTAGTCATTGTACTCGTATGTTTAGCGGGCTCCCTGCGAGTATTGCTAGCGGGTTGCCCTAGCACACGAGTCTGGAAAACACTCGGATGGCATATGGACTTGTGTGGAAAGGTTTCGCGAAGTCAAACCGACTGAAGCTATCATCATCATGAAGGTGACCTCGCACTGATGATAGCCACAGATGACTGGGGATGTTGCAGCTCTGTGCGGTAAGACTCAGAGTTCTAACTAGGGCTCAAA